TAAAAGACCAAGCTGAGATTGGGTAGCTTATAAAGAAAAGAAGTCTAATTGGCTCTCAGTTCTGCAGGCTGTACAGAAAGCATCGTGCTGCATCTGATTGACTTCTGGGGAGGCCTTCAGAAACTTACAATCATGGCTGAAGGCAAAGAGAGATATATTTCACATGACGGGAGCAGGAACAAGAGAGAGCATAAGTGGGGAGGTGCTAGACACTTTTAAACAACCAGATCTCTAGAGAATTCACTCACTATCATGAGAACAGTGCCAAGGGAATGGTGCTAAACCATTCATGAGAAACTGCCCCCATGATCCAACCACCTCTCACCAGCCACAACCTCAAACATTAGGGTTTACAATTCATCATGAGATTTGGTGCAGATTCAGAGCCAACTCATATCAGGAACATATGCCCATTACTTTTGAGAGCACAAGAGGGAACTAGAACACATCACTTCTCTCATCTCATTGAACATAACAGCCATATTGCTATAAACAGCTTCTAGAGGCAGCCCTGGGCTGTACCAAAGCTGGGAAATACAGTCCTAACCCATTACCAATTAAAACTATCACTATGGAAGAATGGGAGAGAGATTGTGGTGTGGAGTCTAACGGTCTCTGCCACAGCCAGTCAACCTAATAAAACTCCCCAACTCCTTGCAATCATTTTCCATTCTTATGAAATTGCTGTCAAGTTTCAAAGGCTTAATTCAGTCCTTATCCCTTTAGGCTTCTTTACAACATTTGATGCAATTGACCTGCTTGGAGTTCTTTTTTCCTGATATGATTTGGCTCTGTGTCCCCAGCCAAATCTCATCTTGTAGCACCCATAAATCCCACATGTTGTGGAAGGGACCCAGTGATAGATAATTGAATCATGGGGTCCAGTTTTTTCCATGCTGTACTTGTTATAGTGAATGTCTCACAAGATCTGAAGGTTTTCAAAATGGGAATTCCCCTGCTCAAGCTCTCTCTCTCTTTGCCTGCTGCCATCCATGTAAGATGTGACTTGCTCCTCCTTGCCTTCTACCATGACTGTGAGGCTTCCCCAGCCACGTGGAGCTGTATCAGTCCTTTAAACCTCTTTCTTTTGTAAATTGTCCAGTATCAGGTATGTCTTTATCAGCAATGTGAAAACAGACTGATACACTACTCCTTCTCCTAATTGTTTCTTCTTAGTAATATTACTTTCTGGCCCTGCTTCTCCTCGTTGTCCTTAAACTAGGTGGCTCCAACAGGCCTGTCATCCCAGTCTGTTTTCTCCTTCCTATATGCCCTCCCTTTTGCAAAGTCATCAACTTCCTTGATTTCAACTATCAATTTAAAGTTGATGCTTCCTATATACCTGATCTTTTGCCCTACTTTCTCTCCAGTGTCTCTACTCCACATTTTCCACTGTGTGCTGGACTTTGCTACATCTTGTCAAAGTCTCAGACATCCAAAACTAGATATACCATCATCTCTCTGAAATCTGCTTCCTTTTACCCTGGCTCTTGCTTATACCATTACTATAACCCAAATATTTTAGGGTCTGGGGAGTTTTAACTATCTTCCCCCTACCTTATCCAGTCAATGAGTACATTGGGTCCATTGTAACTCTAGAATTTTATACAACCACACCCTTCTGAACTGCTCCTAGAGCCATTATTCTTGTTCTAGTTTTGATCCCATTACCTAAGTTTAAACCATTGTACTAATTTCTCTCCTCATTCAAATTCTTCCTACACTAGTATCAGGCATGCCAAAGCATAACTTTGAAAAAGATCAGGGAAAACATAGTCATTGGGGCTAACCATGATTCCAGTCTCAATGGAAGAATTTTTTAGTTTCTATTATTTTCCAGATACTTACATGCAATATCTCATATAATACTCAATAACATCTAATGAAATTAACAGCTCAGTAAATTAAATGCATACATATACCAGGCACTGTGCCAACAACTGTAACTTATTTTAATCTTACAACCTAAAAACATAAGTGTGATTATTGTTCTCATTTTTTATATTAAGCAACTGAGAGGAAGAAACCAAGGCTTTATGCAACTAAGTAATTTACTCATGGTCTGATATTGGTTAAGGGGTGGAACTAGGATTTGAACCAGTTAGTTTTCAAAATACCCTCTCATAAACATTAACCTCATAGCAATTATAGGTCATTATTACTATTATTATTTCATAAACCAAGGAAGTTAAATACTTGCAAATTGACCAGACTTCAAAGCCCAGGTTCTTTCTTTTATTTATACAATTTCCCATTTATGTTCCTCAGTTATAAATGACCTTCCAGTCCCTGTGAGATTTCTTGCATTAGTGGATTATTGAGATTAAGAGAAACTGAGAAGAGACAGGTAATAAATGAGCACAACACCATCCACAGTGTGGGAAAGTCATCCAGAGGATGTATTCTCCTCATGAAAGTGGAATCAACTTTATAAAATCACAGATACTAGTTTCTCGAAATTCCACTTAAGGGTGTCTTTCTTCACATTGTCATTACTGTCCCTTGGCCATTTAGGGGATATGTTTGGACTTTGTCCTAAACTTGCAATTGCTGGAATATTAAGTTCTTTGTCCATTTAGGTTATTTTGGTCTGGAAAAAAGGGTAAATCTTTTATACCGAATATGAAAAATACAATAAGACAGAGAACACAGTCAAGCCAATATTTCTAGACATCTAATTTTGGACAGGGGTAGTAGATCTCCTATTCTCCTCTAGCTAGTATTGAGCCTGTAAACCCAGGCTTCTAAGTTTTCATTATGGTTAAAATAAAAATAAAAATAAAAATAAAAATAAAAACATCCAGAAACAGGACCAACAGAAATCTCTTAATAAATTCAATTCCAAGGGTTTGTCTATGAACAGGGTTTTAGCCCCAAAGACAGAAGGATGACACACAGTGGCACCGGAAACTGGGAGCCAGGTAAGTTTTTTGGTTATAAAAAGTGTAGTTTATTATTAGAGCAAGTGGCAAATACATTCGAGGACAATTATGTGATAGGGTAATAGTCTCAAGGGGGGAATATACTAATACAAGTATGAAACCAAATTGCTATTTGTGAAGGCAAAGTTTAGTGCTGCCTCCCTGTCAACTCTTTCCTTATACTCCAACTACAGCCTTGATGAAGCACTCAATATTCCCGCTACATGGAATAGTCTACTTGTCCAGTATACAAACATACACAAATACACACACACATACGTACACACCATTGCCTTTCTTCTAATTTCTTATAATTTCTACATATCTTTTAAGTCTTAGCTTAGATGTTATTTCTTTCAGGAAACTTACTGAAACATCCCCAAGACCATATTAGGTTTCCTCTCTAATTCCCTGAACAATAACAATATGGGTCACCCTGTACAGTTTATCTGTTTGCTTTGTTCGTTAAACTCTAAGTTTCTTTTGGCAGGGAATAGCTTTTCCTTCATTATTATTTCATTCTTGGGATTTAGAGTAATTTCTGCCATAAAGTATATAGGTGCTTGATATAAATCTGTTAAAGGAATGTACAGATTTTGCAATATAGAAAGCAATTTTTTTCATCATGATTCCAAGGTGTGTTCTTTTCTAAAATGTATTTCTAGAATAAAACTAGTTATAATTATTTCAAAGAGCAGTTAAGTTACATACGCAGATATTATTGTTTGCCCATTGTGGTAGCATTTAGAGCTGCTTGCAAATATCCTGGTTCTATCACCCACCCAGTGAAAATTACACAGTAATGTGGGAGCTTCATGAACTGTTGCATGATTCTCCCTGTCCCTTCCCTCAGTCATGGAAGCACCCTAACAATGGAAGAATGTTTAGAATGGAAGTCTCTGTCAGGCTGTGAACCTAAGTGAGATGTGGAACAGATCCTTCAACTAACCCCAATGGACAGGTCATGAGATCAAGAAATAAAATCTCTAATGTTGTAGCATAACTAATGTCTTGACTGACACATTTTTATGACAGCTACTTCAGCTATCTCTACTTTCTTACTGTCAGAACTTACCTACCTCTCTAGAAGCACAAAGTACTAAATATTCTTCTTTCCAGCCTCCCTTGCAGCTAAGAGTAGCTATGTGGCACAATTCTGAATAAGGAAATACAAGGAAAATTCAACTCATGTTCCTACTATTTTCTACCTTCCAAAAGGGGATTATAAAGAGTACTCTCTTCTCCCATTTTGCTGCTGCATTCAGTTGTATGCAGACATGAGGTAGCTATCTTTTAACTAAGAGGATAGGCCTAAGAATTAAGTCAATATGTTAAGAAAAGCCACTAAGTGGCTACACCAAACCTGAATTTATCACCTCAAGACTTACTGTTATGTGAGATTATAAATGTCTTCAGTGTTTGGATGGACACTGATCAGGAATATTTTGTGAGTTACAGCTGAATGCATTCTAACTAATTGTGTAAGGAATGTGCAAGTTTCCATCTCTGACACCCTATCACTCTAAAATTTTAGAAGCCAATATAAACCAGCAAGTCAGGTTCGATACCCAGGAAGCAAAAGCATCATTTGGAAGAACTAAACACATGAGAAGTTCATTTAGTGATAAAACCTTTTGGCTAAAGATAGAATCCATGTGCTAATATTAGAAAATGACAATAAGCTTTCTATCATTGGAAGAGAAACATAAGAGGCCACATTAGAAAAGGATATTCATAAGTGAATTCATTCTTGGTATTTAGGTTCAGAATTAGCTCATAAAATAATTTCATAGTTAGCTACCTGCCTAGGAATTTTTTTTTGCCAAACTAGTAAAAAAAAAAAAAGTAAGAAAATAAAAGAAATACCAAACATACATGTGTTTTACCAGCAGTAGATCTTCAGAAGTTGGGAAGAAGCTGATAAAGAAGTAGTTCCCTTGTGCTTCAGTGGTTATTTACAAGTCATTTGCATCACTTTCCAACCTAATTTACACATAATCTACCACCTTTTGTTCCACCTTTTCTTAAAAAAAAAAAAAGTGTTTGTCTCCATTACCTCGCAATAGAAAACACTTCTACGAGTGTAATTCTTAATTTATTATGAAATATTCCATTGCATATTGACAATTTTACATAGTACTCATTGAAAAATCTAGACCTGGAAAAGAGAACATTTGGTGCTTTTTGAAGAAGTCACAGAATCCTTAAAACCAGAGTAGGCAGGGTATGGCAAATAAAATGCAGACACTTTAACATGAGAAACAAAATCTCCAGAATTGTTCTCCCACCTACCCAATCTGCCATATTCCACTTTCTCCATCAGTTTCAGGAGCTTCCACCACATGGTTTGGCTCCAGTGAGCCACCCCCTACAACAGCCACAGACACGAACTGGATCTGTGTTTTTATATTAACAGATAAGCTCAATTATTTCATGATACTCTATTACATGCTGGTGAATAACTGATATTGATAATGCAGGAATTTGGTTGCATTTTTTACACATAAATTACAAAAATAGAATTGCATGGCCTAGAAGAAATGTCAAGTGGTGAGAAAATAGGTTTCTGTGGGTTATCTGGGGCTAAGAGTGCTGGGTGCAGAAAGATGAGTAGATAATACAGTGGCCACCTTAGTACAGTTGCCAGTGAGCTGTCAGGAATCACAAGCTGATTGAGGGAAGCTTCAACAGGAGGAATGGAGGTAGTGGAAAATGATTTATGAACCCTTCTGAGTAATAACAAATACTTCAAAAAAACATATCATGAGTTCTAATATAATTTTCTTGTCTGTAGTCAGCTACTGTCAGAATCACTTGTTCTTTTAGGCTCCCTAAATTTTACAATAAATACTGTGGTGTCACTAGAAAAATGATCACAACCCTTGGAAACCCTGATTACCTAATCCTCCAGCAGTTAATGTTCATAGAAACAGCTTCTAGGATACCAATTCATCAAAAACTGTTCCAGGTTCATTCTGATTCAATAAATTATGTAGAGATTAAGTCATACATAAATGGATGTTAATATTATCATTATTAATATTGTTTTTATTTTCAAACCTCAAAGTTTATTTTTGAAATACAGATTAATTTTTTTCCCTAATATGCTAAAGCTTTTACATACATACAAAGGTATGATCTGGGGTTTAGAAATTTGCTTTGCAGTCTGGGAGCACCTAGTTAACTAATAATTATAAATGCAATTAGTACTTTCAGGCAATCAGGGTCAGACTGCCATATCTCATTCTTTGGGACATGAGGCTAGGTATTTTGCAATGCCCAAAAATAACTTTGAAAATAGTATTTAGCAAACTGTTTGGAGCCTCTTCCCCCCCCCCATCCAACACAGATGATATACAAAATGTAATTTGAAGATTTACATATTAAGTTGAATATTTTCTCCTTCATAATACTGACCTTTTGACACTTACACATTCATCCTAAATACTGTTTCATTAATTTTCAAGGCCCAGGCACTAGTATAATTCTGGGCATATAAATCTTAAATATTCTATGATTAAATGGGTCCATGAGTGAGTGAGTGAGCAAATGATAAAAGAAGAGATAAATTAATTTAGAACTTCTGCTCTGAGGAGTGCCTTCCCAGCCAGTAACACTTTTAATATCTACACTAATGGCAAAGCTTTGAGGTTTGGGGTGAATTTGATTAATGATTAATGAAAAGAGTCAAAAAATCATTTAGAATAGGTCTTGGGAATAAGAGACACAATCCAGTGGGATAAGGACACTTAGGAAAACACAAGGCATGATCAAAATAGTGCAAGTCTGACTTTCTCATAATTGGGTTCTAAAGGCAATTCCAGGGATGATTTGAGCATCCACAACTCTGAACTAAGCATGTTAACCCCAGAGTGACTTCTTAGAAAGACTATATGTTATTTTGAATGAAGGAAAACTGACATGCTGATTTTGTTTCTCTAATTTGACTCATACATTTATGGTCAAGGTTTATATCTTATTTTGTAAATGTGGTTAGGGGAAAAGACCATTTTTCTCATCTGTAAGATGAAGGGTAAAACTAGATGATTTCTATAAACTTTCCCCTACTAGCATTCAATAACTCTCTATATAAATAAATAGGTTAAACATTGTTCACATGTATTCAACCATTCTCACTAACATTTCAGAGGCTTTATATTGAAGGGAGCCTCCCTTAAACAACCCCAAGGCCTCAAAGGAAATCGTGCTTTAGGTACATGGCTGCTGGAACAAGATATGTGGGACAAACCTCTCTCTCTCTCTCTCTCTCTCTCTCTCTATCTCTCTCTCTCTCTCTCTCACACACACACACACACACACACACACACACACACACACACACACATCCCTCTGCCTCATTCTCAGTAAACTATCTGTCCCCAAATAGGGACGATTATAGAAGTCAACATAGTAGTTCACTAGTTCACATTCATTTGAAACCATTTATATAACGTGTACAGAGTAAAGCTGTTCTTTAAATGATCTGTCAACTTTGCACTAAGTAGTTACAACTTCAAAAGCAGAGGAAGTGCCTTCAAATGAAAGTATGACAGGAGGCTTCAGAATGTCCTGCTTCCGATTGTGTCCAAAATATTTTATTCTGTAGATTCCAGGCTGGGCAGTGTCTGGAATATGCCATTCCACTGTTGCATTACTCAGACCCAGGAGTCCCTTGTGCCAATAAAAACTGTTGACAGAAAACAAACAAACCAGCAAGACTCAATTTTACTCTTAAAAATGTGTAATTAGAAAAATACATGATTATTCATTCAAGGAATAATCAGGGACTACCTACAATGAGCAAGGCACTATCTAGAAGTTGAGGATACAGCAATGACCAAAACAGACAAAAGCGTCTATTTTCTAGAAGAGAAACTTTAAAGAACAGCAATTTGTAGAAATAGCTTTACTTGTTCTACCTTTCTACCTACCTAAACTTTATTTAACCCAGGAAACCTTACTTGATAGCCACAAGATGTCTTTCCTGCCACAGAATTGCAAAGCACTCTTTTAGCCCTTATCCAACACTCATTTTCACATTGAGATTCATTTGTTAAATATATATATATATATATATATATATATATATATATATATATATATTCAATGAATACATGTGCCCAACTCTTTTCTAGAAGTACTGAGGGTACAGCAGGGAGCAAAACAGACATGGTCCCAATATGAAGCTTATGTTCTACTGGGTTGAGGATGAAAATAAATGCAATAAACAAACAAAGCAATAAATATAAAAATCTTAAGAATGACAAGTGTAATGTAGAAAACAAGACAGAAGCTTTTTTAGGGAGATGTCATTTAAACTGAGTATGCAGAAATCTGGAGGAAAAAACATTCTAAGAAGAAGGAACTGAAAATACGAAGTGCCCAAAGCAGGAACAAACTTGATGTGGCCAAAAAGCAGAAAGCAAGTCAGTTGGTACCGGAGATAGTAAACCATGGAAGAGTGGTTGAGATGAGAAACAGATGGAACCAGATCATGTTGACCCCTGCAGATCACAGCAGAGAGTTCAGATACTCTTCTAGAGTCAGTGAGATACAATGGATGTCAATCCTGAGTTATGTTGAAAGTGAATCTCTTAGGCACAGAGAGTGTGCTCAACACTCTGTGTTTCTCAGTGATAGGTTCAGTACTCTCAACAAATATTTGATTATACTGCTGTTAATGAACAAGGCAGAGATCTAAACATAACCTCAGTATTGACTGCTATTAGCTAAAAACTTTTAGCATGTAAGCATAAATCATTCTTTTTATTACTTGTACAACCTTCTTAACTATAAATATAGATTACTTGTTTCAAAATTTACCTATACCCTAGAGTTCTAAATATCAAAGAAAAAATTATGTTCGTATTTGTATATGGCTGTCAAATGGGCCATGGCCAAATTCCCATTTTCAATTAACCATCTGAACCATACTAACATACTTACATTTAACAAACTAATACCACTTAGTTTGAGGCAATCTGAATTAGACACAAATTGCCCAAAACTGTACCCACTTCCATGCCACTGTCCTGGAATATGGAATTTATAGGCTTGGGAACAGAAATATTGTCTTATTTCAGGCACATTGTCAAATCTTCAAAATATCTATTCAGCTCAGGAATTTGGTAGCAAAAGGCAAAGAGATATGTCTCTCTGAGGAAACTGCATGAGCACATTATCTCCTTGCTCAAGTCATTAAGCACCCAAGTCTATAATGTTTTAGCAACTCAAATGAAGAATCATTGATCTTATACAAACATGCAATACATGTCAGATATAGACTCAGTTTCCCTACAGAAATACCAGGCTCTACAGAGAAATCTCAACAATTTTACTCTACATTCCTTTCAACCAATTTGCAAGAAAGCTAGTTAGTTTTTAACTAATAATACCTGTGATCATGCGGAAAAAAATCCAACAGATGTCTGCAAGAATGGAAGTCATAACCTCATTAGCACCTAATCTTATCGAAGCATAGACTATACGGTTTTGTAGAAAAATATAATCAAAATAAAATCTAATAAATCAATTAAATATGCCCAGAAAGCTCCTTGGGAATTTGATATCATTAATACCTTATATTGAGCCAGTCTTTTCATTTGTCTTCCCTGCATTACAAGCCAACTGTTTTCAAAGCTTGAAAGACAAAAATATTCAATAGATATGCTTACCGAGTCTCCCAGGAGGCATCGTTACACACTATCTGCCAGGATGTTGAAGTAGCCTCATATCTCTCCACAGTGAGGAAGGTCTGATGGGTCTGAAATGCAGTTAATAAAACTGATCAGGTACCGCACAGTCACAGATGGAACCTGTCTGTAAATACTCCCCTTGTTGACCATATGTTAGCCTACCAATACCTTGTGTGAAAATGTGTTAAAATTTCATCCAAACTCTTAGGTTTTCCTCTTAACATTCTATGGAATGTATTCAGAATGTTAATTTATCGAAGTCTATTTAAAAAACATGACTTTTTTTAGAAATTTGAAAGTAGTATAATTTTAGAGTTAATAGCAAATTTTGGAAATTAGGGCAGAAAAGAGGCTGGGAACAAAACTTACTTGAGATTTTAAAAAGGTGTAAGTCAAGCCTTTTCATGACATGTTTAATGATCCATATATCCCAAGACTTTCTCTAGTAACCTCAAGATTTAGAAGGGAAAATAGTAAAGTTTTATCTATTTTCCATCTCCAGGTGAATGAATTACTAGTTAATATACCTCCCTGAGTGAAAGAATTAAAAAGGATACATAAATCTTCCCTATCCTGGGGTGATAAAAGAGATCTCTAGATTTTTTTTTATAATAGATTCCTAGAAACCACATCATAAAAAGATTTTATTTTCCCATTGGAAGAGTATTATAATAGAAGAATTTGTTTCAGACCAAGAATTTAGCCTCAAGCAAAGCACAGATTTGAATATGACAAAGTTAATAAAGACAAAGTCTATAAGTTTCCACTATCCCTTAAAATCCTTGAGATTGTGACCCTTAAAGGCACATGTCTAATTCACCTACATTTATCATAGTCTTTTACATCTGCCACTTACTGGTACTCAAGTAACCCTTTGCTAAATGGATCACTTATTTACATGTGGGCCATGTAATTGTTTAAAGTTTTTCTCTAAGTATTCAACTGATGAATTACATTCAATAAAGAAGTTTTCATCACCATAAGAACTTGTAAAGAGAGCTATTTCTGTCTAGGGCAAATGACAAAAGCCTTAGATGGAGAAGTTATGATGGGCCCTTTGAATACGTCTAGAGTACAGACTGAAGAACAAGTCTAGGCCTGTGAATATCAGGGATAAAACATGACAATCATTTCCCAACTGCTCTACCATAATCTGTTCCAGATGCATGACTAGTCAATACAAGTTACTTTATCTCTCTAGGCCTCAGTTTATTCGTCTGTAAAATCGGGGTAATAAAACTTAACTCATTGGGTAGTCGTAAGGACGGAATTAATCATGTGATAATGCACATAAAGTACTTTAATAGGAATATTTGCAAATAGTACCTACAAAATAATAAGCATTCCATAAATAGTGATGATGATTTTACTAATAAAGAAGGGTGCTGGAAATTGTTGTATACCAAGCCCCAGAGAATTCTTTGAAATTAATTCTATTATCACTACAGTACTTTAAATGTTTTGTTCTTCTGCTTCTCAATGGCAATAATGGTGATAGAATTTCTCTACCCTAGGGATATCAAATGACAGCTGAACCTGCAGTTTTGATACAACATCGATATCTTCAGAATATCAAGACTTCCTAAATAAATTGTTTCAAACAGGTGCATAATGACTACTTAATAGGTAGAAGATTTTCCCCCAATGTCATATTTGAGAATGTCATATTGCCACAATTGTTATCTTGGCAATAATGACATTTTAATGAACAGCAATGGGAAGGTTCTTTTGGAAGGAAGGTATTTTGGATTATAAATGACTATGGGCCCCAGAAAGAATAGCTCATTGGTAGAAGTAATACATCCTCAGCCATAGTAAAAACCATGACCTTGAAATCATAGTCATATGACCACTCTTTTATCACTACAAATTTTTTATTGAGTTTTTACAACTCGAATGTGTCCAGTTATTGCTGGTATAAATTAATTTTATTAATAGATACATTAAATATGTATATAGTTTATCATATATATGATAAAAACAAGTCTGATATGCTTTATAAAAAAACTCTTAACAACGATTACCTCTGGAAAGCAGGTTTGTGGGTATAAGAGCACTTATATACTCTATTTTCTGTACTTCTTTATTGTTTTTGCACTGGACATGTATTTGGAGTGTCATTCTTTGGGTTTAATAAATAAATGCCCCATTAGCACCAGTAGTAAAGAATAGGGAAATGGCCAATACAAGATAAAGTTAAAGCACATGGGCCAGGACTCCAAGCCAGGAGAGTATCCACCCAGGCATCCATGACCATCCCACAACAGTATAGTTAGGACCGGAGATGGTAGTGTAGAGGAGGAGAAGAGGGCCAAAAAGAGAAGAAGGAGCCAAAGACACATGTCCTTCACTTGGCTTTTTTATTATTTCACTACTTTTGGTAGAGTTCTATAAATTTGAATACAGCCATGCATTGGATACATCCTGAGAAGTGCATCATTAGGCAACTTCATCACTGTATGAGCATTACAGAATGTACTTACACAAACTTAGATAGAGTAGCCTCCTACACACCTAAGCTGTATGGTATAGGCTGTGGCTCCTAGACTAAAAATTTGTACAGCCTGTTACTGTATTGAATGTTGTAGGCAATTGCAACACAATGGTAAGTATTTGTGTATCTACACATACATAAATGTAGAAAAGGTATAGTAAAGGTACGGTGTTATAATCTCATGGGACCACTGTCATAAAACAGTTCATCTTTTACTGAAACATCATTATATATGGTGCATAATTATATATATATATATATGATTGTAGTTAACATCTGCTTGACAGACAATGCAGTCATACATGCATTATGCTATACATGGTCCTAAGTAGAGCCAATCATATGTTTCCTGTGTGCTTTTACCCAGACTCAATCCACATTAACTGTACTTATTGAATATTTTCCCATACCCACAAAATTAGATGGAAAACAAGTGGGCACATTTTATCTTTATGTTATTAACCTCTAGAGGGATATTTAAATGAATGAATGGCTAAAAAGCAGATTTACATTTGTAAAAGAAAATCATTGATGCCTACCTCATTTTGTACTGAATTCTTCGGGTTAGCACCTACAAATATAACTTCAGCAACTTCTCCCTGAAAATAAAAATTCATTTAATAACTTGAATAAAAGGATTTTGCTATACTCATATTTGGGGCATTATTTATTATAAATTCTATGATTTAGGGTGACTTTATAGATTTCATTCTATTTAATCAAGTAAGTTATCTTCTAAGAATATTAACCCTTGCAACAATGGACATAAGAATGTTTGGCCAATGAGTTTGCTTTTGGTAGACTCAGATACAAGTGAAGATCTAGAGCTGTAGTTCATATTAGTGACAGCACATTAAAATGGCTTCTTGAGCCCTTGATAATTCCTTACACCTCCCTCCCACACAAATACAAGGGATCATTTGAATTAAATTAGAATAGTCAAAGCTTTCCACAGTGACTCAACTTTATGCTTACATTTATAGTTAAGCTTATATTTTTACAAGAGATGGAGTGTCAGGATGTGTATTTATCCTCCCACCTAAAACAACTAAAAAACTGGACAAAATATATTTTAAACAATGGTTTTTCAAGTGGCAATGAAAGACAGTGATATTTGAGTGGCAGCAAACAAACAAGATGAACCCTGTAATCCACCAGCTCAATGTCATCAGAGTTTACAGGTCACAGCAGAAGGATGCAGAATTCAGGGCAAGTCAGGCAGTCTAAGCTGAGGATATGGAGGTGGAAGCCCACAAATGCCAGTCTTGAGTTTATAGCACAGAGTATCATAGAGAGGGTACTGCACAGAGACAGAAATCTGGAGATTTGCAGAAAGCTCCCTCAAGTTTGCATGCATGTAAGGGAACTACTGGAGGGCTAACAGAATTACAGAGAACAGTCCCCAGGCTCATAGAGAGATGTGACAAGGTTCTGTTCCCACCAGACCAATTCAAAAGGATTTTACCTCAGTGGATGAGGGGATAGGGGGTGCCGGGGGAAGTGGGGAAGGGATTTGCTGAAGATGGAAAGCTGTTCTGGCCTTGCCTAAAAGGCAAGGTAGTACAATAGGTAAAAGCAATAAAACTAAGTGCTAAGTCCTAAGTGCTAAGCAATAAAACTAAGTCCTTCTTTGAGGACACACATTACCAAAATTAGAAAGAAAGAGGGGATGTCATTGTCAACCCTTCAGAAGTTAAAAGGATTAAAAGGGATTATCATGAGCAATAACAATTTTTATATTATACCAACAAATTAAACTTATATGAAATGGGAAAATTCCAAGAAAGATGCCAATTCCTATAAAGATAAATTCCTAAAAAGACACAAAATTGATGCAAGGAAAAAAAACAGGAAATCCGAATGGGCATATAACGAGTAAAGAAATTGAATTACTAATAAAAATTTTGCCATAAAGAAAAGCCCAGTTCCATATGGCCTTGCTGGTCTATCCAATCAAATATTTAAAGAGTAAATAATGTCAATCTTTTTGATACTTTTTCAGAAAGTAAAGGAGAAAACATTTCCCAACTCATTTTTGAAACTACTGTTGCTCTGATAACAAAGGCAAGGACAACACATAAAAAGAAAACTACAAATATCACTCATGAACATGAGTAGAAAACGCCTTACAACATATTAGCAAATCAAATTCAGCAACATCTAAAAAGGGTTATACACCATGACTAAATAGTATGGTATTTATTTCACATCTGAAAACCAATGAATGCAAATGACATATTAAAATAATAAAAGACAAAAACCACATTGTCACCACAATAGAAAAAAATATTTGCAAAAATCCAACGTTTATTTCTGACAAAAACTCTCAGTAAACTAGGTATAGAAGAGAACTTTTTCAGCATGATAGAAAGAATCTACAAAAATCCTAGAGAAAACATCATACTAAATGGTGAAAAACAATATTTTTCTACTAAGATCAGAAACAATACAAGATTGTCCAGTTTCACAACTTCTATTCAACATTGTATTGGATTTTGAGCAAAAAGAACAAAGCTGAAGGTACCACACAACCTGACTTCAAAATATACTACAAAGCTACAGTAATCAACACAGCATGGTACTGGCCTAAAAGCAGACACATAGACCAATGGAGCCCAGAAATAAGCCCGTACATTTATGGTAAATTGATTTTTGACAATTTGCCAACAATGCACAATGGGGAAGGGACAGTTTCTTCAATAAATAGTGCTGGAAAAAACTGGATAATCACATGCAGAAGAATGTATAAGCTTCTTATCTCACAACATATATAAAAATTAACTAAAAATTGTTTAAAGATTTAAATATAAGACCTGAAACTATAAAACAACTGAAAGAAAACCTAGAGGAAGTTGGTGTAGGCAATGGATTTTTTTTAAATATGACCCCTAATGTAAAGCAACAAAAGCAAAAACAGACACATGGGATTACATCAAACTAAACAGTTTCTGCACAACCAAAGAAATAATTAACGAACTGAGGAGACTACCTAAGGAACTGGAGAAAACATTTTCAAACTATACCAATAAAGAGTTAATATCCAAAATAAATAAGGTTCTCAAACAACTCACTAGCAAGAAAATAAATAATCCAATTTAAAAATAAGCAAAAGACATGAATAAACATTTCTCAAAAGAAGATATGCAAATGCTCAACAGGGTATTTTTTTTAATTTTCAACATCAGTGATTATCAAAGAAATGCAAATTAACACTAAAATGAGATATCACATCACACTTGTTAGAATGTATATTAAAAAGACAAAAGATAAGTGTTGATAAGACTGTAGAAAAGGGTAACTTTTGCACACTGTTCATGAGAATGTGAATTAGTGCAGCCATTATGAAAAGCAGTAAGAGGTTTCTCTAAAAATAGTACTATAAAATATTAAACAATAATATCACTTCTGGGTATACATCCAAAGGAAATGATGTCAGTTTGTTAAAGAGATATGTGCATTCCCATGTTTATTGCAGCACTGTTCAAAATACACAAGATATGAAACAACCTAAGTGTCCATCAATGGATGAGTGGAAAAAGAAAATGTAGTACATATACACAATGGAATACTATCCAGCAATAAATGAGATCCTGACATTTGACACAACGTGGATACACCTGGAGAACATTAGATTCAGTGAAATAATCAGATACAGAAAGATAAATACCACAAGATCTCACTTATATACAGAACCTATAAGAGTTAAACTCATAGAGAATAGAATGTTGGCAGAAGGTTGGTTACCAGGGGCTAGGAGATCAGGGGATTGGGGATCAAGGAATATAGAATTTCGGTTACACAAGGGGAATAAGTTCAAGAGGTCTATTGTACAACTTGATGATTGCAGTTAACAACAATGCATTGTATTTTAAAAATTGTTAAGAGAGTAAGTCTCAAGTGTTCTCACAACAAAAAAAAATAAGTATGTGATGTAATGCACATCTTAATTAGCTCAATTGAGCCATTCCACATGTATACATATTTCAAAACATCATCTTGTACACAATAAATAGATATAATTTTTATTTACCAATTAGAAAAGTAAATAAAATTTTTTTAAAAAGCAAAACATTCTACTGAAGGTTCTGACTAGTCCGATAAGGAAAAATAATTAGATGTATTCAGAAAAGAAATCTAGAAATGAATACTTTTATTTTTATTCACAGATGACATGATGCTATATGTAGAAATTCCTAAGGAATCCAGACTCCCTTCTTACTCATTGCCCCTCAAAAAATATTGAAACTAATAACTGATTCAGCAAGCTTTCAGGGTACAAGATTGATATAAAATAGTAATGGTACAAATTCTGCTTCATTTCTATATGTTTTTCCTGTCCTTGATTTAAGAAACAACTCTCAGTTCCAGTGAATAGTTCTATGATCACTCATTTAAGAAAAGGAATAATTTGGATTTTAGAATTCCAATTTGACACAATTACCCACAAAAAATAAATATTTCCCCATTCTCATTACTTTTGCAGAAATAAAGACAATTATCAAAATTATCATTGCTAACAGCTGCTCTACAGCATGATTAGAGGCAAATGGTGACACTAAGTGACATCCTTCCCCTCATCCCCAAAAACAGGCCTCTAAAGGATTCCAAGGTCTGTGCATGAGTCTTACCACTCTGTATTCAGGTTTTGCTGGCTGTAGGACATCCCCAAAAGTTCTGCCTATTGGTGCTCTATCCACTATATTAGGAATTAATGGAAGTATTAATTGCTTGAAAAATGGAGGTTCTGGACCTCTGCTCAGGTCGACTACTGTGTCCTGGAACAGAGAGCATTTGTCAAGGAGAGCACATGTAGAGCCCAAGACCCTTTCCCCAGGCCTCCAGCCCAGAAATGCCTTCATTAATGGAAGAGTACATGCACACATACACATACACACTCCAAGAGCTAACAACTTTGAGCAAAATAGGAAGGCAGCCTTGCTAAACATGAGCCTAGAAATTCATAATTTAAGCTCTTGTCATTGGAAGAAAGTTTTGGTCATAGGCAACTCTTTTATTCCCCTAGGCAACATATGGACAGTGACCAGAGTACAAGCTGGGAAACACACTTTCGAATTGTGTGACTTTGTACAGGCACCTAACATGCAAAAAGGTTTTTATAACATGACACTATAATTATTATTTTATTTTTCTTTAAGTATTGAGCCAGTCTCACTGAGAGGCAGTACCAAGTTTTTTCCTAGATCCTTGTCTATGGTAAGAAAATAATATAATAAATACATTTTTAATTTAAAATGTAAGATTATCCTATATCTTGACTGGTTTAATCTATGTCACCCACAAAATTTACCATTTTTAAGTGTCATAAAAATACAAATATCAATTTTCAAATATTCCTTGATATATATTAGGTTGGTGGAAAAGTAGTTGCCATTTTGCCATTACTTTCAATGACTATTTAACATTCTTTATTCCTCACATTATAGATTTAATCTTTACAATAGTATATGAGATAGGTTGTGTATTACCATCCCATTTTGCAAATGAGAAAATAGGCTTGGACATGGTAAATGGCCTTTTTCAAGATCACATCGCTAGTTTTAAGGTGCTTGAACAGAAATTTGACTGTAAAACAGATTTCCACCAAATTAATTGCATTTTCTTCATTAAGTATTACTATAAAATTTAAAAAATCTATTTTTATGGAAAGAACTATAGACCTATGAGTGCAGTGACAGTTAAACAGTAGTTATCTCTAGAGCTGGGTTATAGGTTTATGCTTTTCTGTATAATCTGAATATCCTACAAGTAGTTTTGGCCTTTATAATAGAAATAAATAAAACATTTCTTCAAAAAAAGTAACCTAAAACTGAGAGCAAAATTATGATAAAATGAAAGTAAATATCTATTAATTAAAATATGTGCAAATAAATTACATAAAATACTGAAACATACAATCGGTAACTAATAATATAGGCATAATGAAATTGTCAACATTCTACTGATGCAACCTACAAAGACAGCCATTTCATTAATATATTCAAGCTCTTTCTTTAAAAGGACTATTTTTTCTTTGCTATGCCATATCGTTTCCCATTTTTATCGAGGCTTACATATTATTATATAAGTGCTTATTATTTTAAGCTCTTTATCCTGTTTGTTGGCTAACCTCTGACATCACAGTTGCCACCTCATAAACAACTGCATCCAAAGGGAAGATTTCCACAAGTGAAGTTCCCTTAAATCAAGTAAACTTGTTCAGTGGTATATATTTTAGGTAGATGCAATGTGTTCATTACATCAGATCTAAGCTTCTATTGATTTAAGAACTCATATTATTTTTTGAACCACCAAGAAAGTAAAAGATTGCTACTAATTATAATAATAAGAATCCTCTGACTGGAAAATGCATCTCAATTTCAGAGATATTATGATGTGGAAAGTGGGCATCTTAGAATGCTGACCTACTCAACTCTTGGAGTAAGTGGGGAGAACGTGGCAAGGATTAGAGAACACAGGTTCAACTCCCAGGTGTAGTAAGCTTCATTACTTATCTTCAAGCCTATGTGCTCATCTGAAAACTGGGGAGAAATGATATCTCCTTAACTTCACATGATGGTGGTAAAAATAATGAGATAGTATATATGAAAGAGCTGCCACCATGGAATGATGTTAATTAGATCCAAAATTTGGAAATAAAGTTTATTTCTTTTATTTTCTTAGAGATATCACAAAGCTATACATTTTGTAAAATATAAAGATTGTCAAAGAAGCTGAACATTCAAAGCTAAGTTTCTCTTTTGCTTCTCTCTGCATCTTCTCACCCAGAGACAAACACATACAGAAACACACACACATACACATGCACAAACAATATTTGATTACCGTAGCAATGGCCTTAGCAAGGTTTCTGAAGAGCTGAATGTAAGCAGATAATGTGTGTGGTCCATAAATTGTAGATGCTGCCTCATATCGCTGGGCCTGTGGGAAAGGCAGGGAGAGTTGTATATGGTCCTGCACATATAAATCCATTTACAGAGGTCTAGCATTTTAGGTAAGTGTGATGCTTGACATCTCACCATTATCTGAAACTAGCATAATCGTCAAGATTATGTATGACCAAAGAGGATGGGCATTTCTATTTACTGGCCAAAGTAAGTGACTCCTTTGTTACTTGTTAAAAGCAGTGGGTTCTCTCTGCTTATGCCATTTAGACTGTCACCCCATTTACTATGAAAGAGGATGCTAGCTCCTGAGCTTTAGTCTATGATAAGTACTTGTAATGTCTTCCCCAAGGTCCTATATCAGAAGAGAAACCAAAATAAAGAGTCCTAGTAACTTCTGGATAAATAGTTAGAAGATACTAACTGGAGAGGGACATTTAATTCATCACAGAGCCATAAAATTGAAACGATGCATCTTTTACCTAACCTCTAGGCCTTTGGTCTTCTACAGAAACCTCAATGTCATCAAATGTAAAATCAGCTTCCCCACTCCAGACATACCAGCTTCCTCTGCAACATTCTCCATCTCAGTGAATGTCATCCTTCCAGTCTCCCATGTGAGGATCAGCCAGCAGTTACCCTAGACTCCTCTCTCCCTCATTCTGTATCCTGCAAGTCTCCAAATCTGGTAATTCTGTCTCCTTCAAATCGCCGGAATTCTTTCATTTTCCTGTCTTACTTTCTCCTAAGGTAAAAGTAAATTTTACCTTAGTTCGAATATTCATCTCTCACCCAGATTTTTTTTTAACTTTTATATTAGGTTCAGGGGTACATGTGTAGGTTTGTTATATAGGTAAAATCACATGTTATGGGGGTTGGTTATGCAGATTATTTTGTCAGCCAAGTAATAAGCACAGTACCTGATAAGTAGTTTTTTGATCCTCTCCCTCCCCCTAACCTTTACCCTCAAGTATACATGTCCATGCCTTGACCACATCTTAACTACACTACAGCTTCTTAATCAGTCCTCTGTCTATACACAAGCTCTTCCAATTAATTTTTTACACTGCCATCCTATTGACCTTTCTAAATCACAAAATTTTATCAAAGCATTCTCTTGCTTAGAATCCTACTGGAGTTCCCCCAAAGCCTTCCTTACTGAATGAAAGCTCTGTAACATAGCATATAAAACTATCCATCAGCTAATCTGTCTCCCACTCTGGCCCCCATCTCATTACCATCACCTTCCCCATACTTACTCCATGCTACTCAACTAATTATGGTCCATCAATATGTCTGCCCTCTGGACCTTTGCATGTATAGTTTCTTCTATATGGGATACATTCTTTACTCTTTTTTGGCGGGTGGGGGGGATGGATTCTTGCTCTTTTCACCCAGGCTGGAGTGCAATGGCATGATCTTGGCTCACTGCAACCTCTACCTCCTGGGTTCAAACGATTCTCTTGCCTCAGCCTCCTGAGTAGCTGAGATTACAGGTGGCCTGGCTAATTTTTGTATTATTAGTAGAGATGGGGTTTTACCATGTTGGCCAGGCTGGTCTCAAACTCTTGACCTCGTGATATGCCCACCTCGGCCTCCCAAAGTGCTGGGATTATAGGCATGAGCCACCGCACTTGGCCACATTCTTACTTTTTATTTGCCTAACCCTCACTTGTTCTCAAGAAATCATACAGTTGTTATGTTTTCCTGAACAGTCCCAGTCCTCAAATATCCAGTATGGGCTGGTGATCTTTCTCTTTATTTTTATATCACCTTGTGCATGACTTTCATGAAAATTTAACCAACTGTTCTCCTTTCTATCTTTCTACCAGACTCTTAATTTCTAGTAATCTTGAGGGAAAGGACAGATTCTTTTCATCATTATGTCCCAGAAAGTCGCTAGCACAGTATCTGTCACAATACATATCTGTTGAAAAAATGAAGTAATAGCAGTATTTCTTGCAAGAGTATATCCCTGTGATATAGACAGGAGACAGGGAAATACTGGATAGAAGAGGGTGGTTCCCTGGCAAAGGCCCCACCCTTAAGCCTGGAAACCTGTGGCCCAAAATGAGAATAGGCATTTCTGTTTTCACATCCAAACATTCCTGTTTTACTTTTTAGTTCACTATGCCCCCCATCTGCTACCCATAAAATCCCCAAAACCCCAGCTCCATGAGCATACAAGGAGATGAACGAAAAAGTGGAAGAATGGCAAAACGGCACAGCAGAGAGAAGAGAAGGAGCATCTAAATGCCGAGAGGAGTTTGGCTGGGGATGGTCAGAAAGGAGGTTGACCACTGGACAGCCAAACTCCAGAGGAAGATCATCTTGCCACTTCATCCCCTTTCCAGCTCCCCATTCATTCCACTGAGAGCTACCTCTACTACTCCATAAAACCCTGCATTCATCCTTCATGTCCATGTGCAACATCATTCTTCCTGGACACTGGACAAGGACCTGGGTACCAAGAGGGCACTCAGCTGTTTAACGCTTAAGCCATCTGCAGACAGGAAAGCTAAAAAAAGCACACTGTAAAACATGCCCGCTTGGGCTTCAGGAGTAGCAGGCACCCAGATCTAAATATTGCTGCAGGGCTCACATGGAGTTTGCTCCAGCCAGCACCCAAAAGCACTTGCCCAGGCTCCTGCACCTGCCTGTCTGTATTCCCCCTCCCATAAGGGGTTTGCACAGCAGCCAAACAGATGAGCCACACCCCTGTCACACATACTGCAAGAGGGTTCAGGGAACTCTCCCATCTCACCTGGACCAGGAGACAAATTAATAGGGGTTCTTAACCTTGCTTGTGACATGGACTCCTTTGGCAGCATGTTGACACCTAAGGACCTCCCTCAGAATAATGTTTCTAAATGTGTAAAATAAAATACATGGAATTGCCAAAGGAAACCAGTTAAGTTGAAATACACTTACCAGACAATAACAAACCAATGTTGTGATACAGTAATGTATCTGCTTTGTTATTATACTATTGAATAATAAGATACATCTGTGGATCTAATAGCTACTGTGATTATAAAATTGCAATAAGAGTAAGAGACATTTCTAGATCTGCAATAACTATATGCAATATGAAAATATCTCTGGTTCCTAACTATTGGTGACAGAGGTACTGCTAAAATAATTTGTTTGTTTCCTATAATTATAATTTACGGAAACACTAAATAATAGTTAGAGGTAGTGAAGAAAAGATTTAATTATTCCTCTCCAATTTTACCATCATTAAGACCCCTTTTTCTTTTTCTTTTTTTTTTTTTTTTTTTTTTTTTTTGTTTGTTTTTTTTTTTTTTTTTGAGACGGAGTTTCGCTCTTGTTACCCAGGCTGGAGTGCAATGGCACAATCTCGGCTCACCGCAACCTCCGCGTCCTGGGTTCAGGCAATTCTCCTGCCTCAGCCTCCCGAGTAGCTGGGACTACAGGCACGCACCACCATGCCCAGCTAATTTTTTGTATTTTTAGTAGAGGCGGGGTTTCACCTTGTTGACCAGGATGGTCTCAATCTCTTGACCTCGTGATCCACCCACCTCGGCCTCCCAAAGTGCTGGGATTACAGGCGTGAGCCACAGCGCCTGGCCCAAGACCCCTTTTTCAATGGGATTTCCTAGAAGGCAAGGACCTTCAAGAAAGCCAACAGAGAGTAGCAGGGCAGAGTTCACTCTTAATATCACCGAATATTTACCAATGGTTAGACTGCATGCCTCTGTATGCACCACCATGATATACTAGCAGATGCAGATATATTATTAACAGAAAGTATTAATTATGAGACTCTGGACTGCCTTCATGTTTTACTTAAAAAGTACTTGGGCTGCTTTCTGGACTATTTATAAACAAGGAAATATTACCAGCTACCAGCCTTCCTGAAACTCTCTGGGACTCTGTTTCTTAATATTTATCATCAATATAATAATACCCTATTTCTGGATATGCTGTGAGGATTACTTTAAATTACATTTGCAAAGTGCTTAACTAGTGCATTCAATAAAAACTACTAGTAGGAGTTTTCTCAGGTTCTACAGAGGCTTAAAGTATCAAATGCATTATGAATAGAGTTAGGAATATTATATGCCACAACCCAGGCTTATTCTCAGTGTCCCTGACAAAATAATTAATTTCAGGGAAAGTGTAAGTCAGTAAAACTAGAATTCTGACCTGAACTTAAAACGATGTATTTAAAACTCTTAAATAAGACCTCTGGCTTATCATTCTCTTATCTGCTATACCTAAAATAAAATCATCTCTCAGAAACACAACTTGGAAAGTTTACAAAGCAAGTCTGCATTTGACACAATAGTCTTGACCAGGGTATAATGCATTTAAGTGATAAAAACTTTTTGCTTTACCTGGTATTCTTCATAAGTGGCAATGTAATGTGTATAGACATTGCATAGACCTGAAATAACAACAGTCATATTCTGCATCCCATGAGATGCAAATTCCTAGGAGAGAAAAGTAAAACCCAATAAAATTACTCTTCATCTCTAAGTATATTATCATTATATTATGCTTAACATACAAGCATTGATTACATTATTAGTATAAGATATTTTTCTTAACAAAATTTTTCTAACTCTGTACTATAGTTGGACAAGTCAATGGATCTATAAACATCTTAAAGATTGCAGTTGCCAATGTAGAAACTCCTTACTACTAAAGTAGGGATTTTAAAAAATCAACTTGTTAATAGGTGGCTATTAGCTAACCAGAATAGTAATTTCCAGCTCTAAGTAAGAAGACGTTTTTGTTATGTCATTTTAGAATCATTTACCATACTGCCTGAATATTTAAAAAATTAAAAATACAGCACAGATAAAATACAAAATTCCCCAAATGTGATACATTTTATTTAGGCTGTTCACAGGAATTTAAGATATGACATACTTAGAGGTTATTTAGTATTTAATTTATAAAACCATTATCAAATTTTAAATTATTAATATATAAATACCAATGAAATATTTTTAACCTAATGTTATTCTCCTTACGTTTTTTAAATCTGGTTCTTATACCACCAACATTTCATATTCACCTTCGCTATTAATTTCAAGAAATGTGGAGCTCTAGTCATCTTAGAAAGGATTAATTTAAAAGGTATCAGATCATAGGGATAGGATATAGTTTCCTGTTCACCAAATATGAACATGTAGATATGTTATTTTATTTTCAACTTACTGCTTGAACTGCCTCTCGAAGTCTTCGTCCAGACATGGTCCTGAGTCAAGAAAACAGTTATATAAAAGTTTTCCTACTCAGAATGTGTGCAGAGTATACAGAAACACTTGCAATGAAAGCCAAAAAATTACCTTGGCTCATCACACAATAGTAAAATATGTAGGAACCCAATGACTATGAAAAGCTAAACTTGACCTTTTCTCCTACCTCTTCTAGCTTCAAAATAAATCCTAAGCTGAAAATAGTCAATTTGACCAAAAGAAAGAAACAGAATCAGTAATTATCACTGGCAAAACAGCATCATTATTTACCATTCTTGAGTCAACAAAATAATCACTTGTATTCTATGCTTATTAAAGTTGAAGCAGGTAGAAAATACATTACTGTCCCTTTCTACAAAAAATTTACCACTTCATTTATTCCTTTAATCCTTCAACAAACCATTGAGCACCTAATACACACCAGGCCCACTTCTAGGTGCAAAGGATTCAACAGTATGGAACTTACATTCTAGGGAGAGGTGAGGGTTAGTAAGCAAATAAAAACAGATGATGAGAAAAGCTATAGAGAATAACAAAGCAGGGTAAAGAGGAAAGGGGGTGGTGGTGGTCATTGTGGTGATGGTGGTGCTGGTGCTGATGTGGTTGTTGATGGTGGTGGTGGTGGTGGCGGTAGGTGAAGATTACATAGTGAAAGCAGGACTGGCATCCCTGTTAGACATTTGAGCAAAGAACTGAAGAGATAAAATATTTACTCATGAGAATAACTGGAGGAAAAGTGTTCCAGAATGAAGAAACCATAAGTTTAAAGCCCCTGAGACAAAAGCATCTTCGATGAGTCTGGGAAGTGTAATAAAGCCAATGTGGCTGAAGCAGAGAGGAGTAAAGGGGAGAGAGGTAAGAAATCACATAGGAGAGTGTACTGAAGAACAGATCATGTAGGAGCTTGCAAGTTTGAGGATTTACCCGGAATGAAATGGGAAGCTACCAGAGGATTTTTGAGCAAAGACATGATATTATTTAATTTATACTTTAAAGGGCTTAATCTAGTTGCTGTGTTGAGAAAAGACTGCATGGGAGTAAAGGCAGAATGAAGCAGACCAGGTAGCAGGTTATTGCAATAATCTATGTGAACAATTGTAATAGCTTAGACCAGGAGGGGAAGTGACAGAAGGTATTGGGTGGAGTGTACAAAATTTGCTAAAGATTTTGAAGGAAAAAATAGAAAAAGAGAGAATTCAAGGATGACTCCAAGAGATAGGACCTGCTGGAAAGATATGAAATTTCCAGTTACTGAGACAGGAAGACTACATATCAAGCGGTTTAAAACGTTCTTCCATGTTTTTAATATATAATCTGATAGTTTCAAGTATTTGTATTTTAATATTATTTCAAATATTTCTACTGACATAATGATTCATGGCATCATTTTAATTTGGGATAAGCATTTTTAAAATTTTCATGTCTGCTTCAAATTAGCCATCAATAATAAGCATAGAGATGATAGTTATTCTTCAGAGGCCCCAGCAAATATTGCCACCAAACATATTACAGTAGGATACCAAGGGGTCAGTACAGAATGATCTTCCTATGATAAGGAGCAGTTTCAATAGAAACATACAACAAACACATTTTTAACTAAGTAATAGGAAGAACTTACGTAAGCTCCCCAGGGATGGCAGTTATGGCCAAAGACCCAAGGGTAATAATCTGAACATCAACAATATCGGGATGCCAGGGATGAGGTTTTGATAGCTGAGAACACAAAACAAGAAAATTATGTTAGAAATAATACACTCTCTATGATAAACAGACAGATAATGGTCCCAGAAGTTCCTCTAGTTTCTAATTTATGATGTAGTATTAAATATTCTATAGGGGCACTTATGTCCTATTCATAACATACAAATTTCAAATGCCGCAGCCCCATTAACCTGCACAAATTACAATAAAGTTTTTGGTGGATCTGTCACTGTGAAATCACAATGTGTAACAGATAACCAAAGGTTTCCCTAGAGTACTGTTAGAGACTATCCTTATGCCCAATAAATAAGGAATTCCATTTGGAATAGTTTGACTTAATAATTTCTCTTTTTATTCTAATCACATGTTAAGTTTGCAGTTTCCAAGTCTTGCTTTATTTTCTAAGATTTCCCCCAAGAGAATTTATCCTTTTCCATATTCAGAATAGTATAGCCTGTCCTTTTATTCCTTCTTTTTCTCTCTTTCTTCTTTCAAGAATTTTAATAGAATATTAGGAACAAAAATGTATTTTTAAAATGCTTCTAACTCAACAATCCATGTTTTTATGAATACCGAAATAATCTTTTAACGTTTAGAATGTGAAAATATATGTTTCAAAGGGGTGTAAAAGAAAATTGCTTCAGTTAATGTTGACTAAATGTGAGAAAATTAAGACATGAACATGTTTCTTTTTAGATGACCTGAAATGTTTCCTTCGCAGAAAATTGAGTGCTCTCTTCTTGGAACTAACATAAACAAATTCTGAATAAAATAAATGTTAATCTTCTTCTGTCTTTCCCACTGTCCTACTTGTTGTATTTATTACTTATAAGTGCAATAAGTAAATCAGTATACTTTATAATCACAACCCTTATTCCTTAGAGTTAGAGAACCCATTTTTTAATATGAAAAACTTGATATGGGAATATCTAAATAAGGCCTCCCATTGTTCATTATCTGACAGTTCACAAATTCAAAAATAACAATATGCTAATTTCACTATGATAATGAAAATGCACTACCTCTCCAGTGTGAAGAAGAATGGGCTTCGGTTTATGACATTCTTTCATTTCTTCAGATGGTTTTCCCAGGATTTGGTCCCGAATGGTGTCCCAAAATGGATCCCCTTCTGTTTTCCCTATTAGAAATGTTATGATTAATATACTTCCAGGAACCAACCGTCTGAAAAAAGTAATTATTTTGACAAATATTGTACAATAATCTTTTAAAGAGTCTCAGATACTTTATTAAGGTGGTTGTTCAATGATTCCAAACAGTTTGAATAATAGAATAGGCAAAATGTCCTGTGCATCCTAAGATATAAGCCATTATTTAATTAAATCTTCAGTGTGTCAAGGGAATGACAGAGTAAATTTTTGTCAATATCCTTAAAGTTTGGTTCCTTTTACCTCTGCTCATCCATATTGCAAATAAAAACAGTTTGACATAATTAACTGCAGATTTGTGGACTAAATCACTTTTTTCCTGTTTTGAAAACTAAAAATGACACCTCCAACTCACAATACCAGTTGTCTGGTTTATGGTCCCTGAAAGAATTTCTCCTGAATACCCATTTAATTATCTACACACACACACACACACACACACACACACACACACACACACACACACACCATGGGCAGTAAAAAACAAAAACAAACCTCAAATGTATAATCTGGGGAAAAGAGTTTTGTAACTATGAAACCTGTGAGTTGAGAATCTATACTCTATTTGAAAAATTTAATAATTATAAACGTCTGTGTAGCTAATAACAGAGCACCAAATACGTAAAGTAAAAACTCACAGAAATGAAAAGAGAAATACACATTTCAATAACAATAGCGAAACTTTCAATAACCCATTTTCAATCATTGATAAAACAACCAGGCAGCAGATCAACAGGGAAACAGAAAGCTTGAACTAGGCCTGACAATCTATAGAATACTCCACCCAAAAACAACAGAATGTACCTTCTTCTCAAATGAATATGGAACATTATCTGGGATAGATCATGTGCTGACCAAAAGACAAACCTCAATAAATTTTAAAAAGGAGAAATAATACAAAGTATGTTCCCAAGCACGGTGAAATGAAATTAAAAATAAATAATAGGAAAAAATTGGGGAAACTCATAAATATGTGAAAACTAAGCAATATGATCTGAAATAGCTAATAATCAAGTAATAAATCAAAGGAAAACCTGGAAATACTTTATCATGAATGAAAATGAAAACACAACAAATCAAAACTTATGGTATGCACTTACAGGAGTGCTCAGTGAAACATTAATAGCTGAAAACGTCCATACTAAGAAACAAGAAATATCTCAAACCAATAACCTAACTTCCACCTGAAGGCATTGCAAAAGAAAATCAAACTAAACCAAATCAAGCAAAAAGAAGAAAATAATCAATATTAGAAAGAAAATCAATTAAACAGTGAGCAGAATAACAACAGAAAAATCAATTAAACCAAAAGCTGGTTTTTTGAAAAGGTCAACAAAATTGGCAAAGCTTTAGCTAGATTGACCAAAAAAAACAGAGAGAAGACTTAAATTATTAAACTCAGAGATTAGAAGGAACATTACTGCTGATTTTAAAGTAATAAAAAGAATTACAAAGGAATACTGTGAGGAGTTGTATGCCAATAAATTAGATAACTTAGATTAAATGGGAAAATTTCTAGAAAGAAAAACTACCAAAACTGACTTAAGAAGATATAGGCAATGTAAAAAAAACAAAAACAAAAACAAAAAACTATAAAGAGATTGAATTCATAGCACATTTTTAACTACCTAAACCAAATAGCAGAGCTCAGATTGTTTTACTGCTGAATTCTTCCAAACAAAGAATTAGTACTAACTTTTCCAAAGCTTTTCCAAAATAATAGAAAAGGGAATACTTCCTAATTCGTTCTATGAGGCCAATGTTATCCTGATACAAAACCAAAGATATCACAAGAAAAGAAAGCTACAGAACATTGTCTCTTATAAATATGACACAAAAAATCTACAATAAAATACTAGCAAACTGAATACAGTAACATAGAAAAAGAATTGTTATAGAATATGACCAACTGGGATTTTTTCCAGGAATGCAAAGTTGGGTAAACATTCAAAAACTGATCAGTGAAGTGTAACATATTAATATAATTTTTAGAATTACATTATTATCTGAGTAGATACAGAGAGAAACATTTGACAAAAATCTAACACCATTTTATGATAATAATACTCAACAAACTAGGAATATAAGTAAATTTCCTCAACCTGATAAAGGATTAAAAACCCAGAGCTAGCATTATACTTAACGATGAATGACTGAATGCTTTTTCCATAGTATCAGGAACAACACAGAATGTATAGCCTTTCCACTTCTATTCAGCATTGTTCTGAAGGTTCTAGCCAGGGCAATTAGGCAAGAAAAAGAAATAAAAGGCATTCACGTTGGAAAAGAGAAATTAAAATTATTGATATTTCTATTTTAAGATGACATGATCTTAAAATTTATAAGCTGATTCTAAAATATTAGAACTAATAAATGAGTTCAGCAAGGTTGTAGGATATAAGGTCAATATACAAAATAGTTGTATTTGTATACATTTTCTATGAACAATTCAAACATGAAATTGAGGAAAACATTCCATTTAGAATAGCATAGAAAAGAGTAAAATACTAAGAAATAAACTTAACAAAAAGTACAAAATTTATACTCTTAAAATTATCAAACTGTTGAAAAAAATTAAAGATCTAAACAATGCCAAAACATCCATGTACATGGATCAGATTACATAATATTGCTAAGATGGCAATACTCCCCCAAATTAATCTGTAAATTCAATGGCATTTCCACCAGAATCCCAACTGACTTCTTTGTAAAAATTTACAAGCTGATTCTAAAGTTCCTGTGAAACTGCAAAAAAACTCAGAAGTCGAAACAATCTTCAAAGAGGAGGTCAAGGTAGAATGACCCATTCTTTCTGATCTCAAAGGAAACAGTAACCAAGAGAGGGTTGTACTGGCACTAGGTACAACCTAGTGTATATGCCTAGGTTGACTAGGCATATAAATCAATGGAATTGAATTGCTAATCCAGAAACAAAGCCACATGTCAACTAATTTTTAACACATGTGCCAAGATTATAGAATGGGTAAATAGTAATCTTTCCCATAAGTGGTGCAGAGATAGCTGAATAGTCACACGCAAAAGAACGAAGTCAGGCCATGACCTCCATGATACAAAAAATTTAAATTAAAAGGGATCCAAGACTTAAATGTAAAGCTAAAACCATAAAAGTCTTAGAAGAAAATAAGGGTAAATCTTCACGACATTGGATTTGGAGAAAGATTCCTACATATGGCATTAAGCCATGAGTAACAAAACTTAGACTTATTAAAAATTAAGAACTTTTGTGTTTCAAAGGACACAAATCAATAAAGTGAAAAAACAACCTACAGAATGGAAGAAAATACTTTCATATCATACATTTGATAAGGGACTGTATACAGAAAACACAAAATCCACTTATAACTCAATAATAAAAAGAAAAATAACTCAAATTTTAAAATGAGAAAACTATGTAAATGATGTTTCTCCCAGGAAGACATACATGTGGTTAATAAGTGCATGAAAAGATGTTTGACATAATTAATCATTAGGGAAATGCAAATCAAAACCACAATCAGATAGATATCCCTCCATACCTCCTAGGGTGGCTAGATTCAGTAAGTCAGATAATAATAAGTATTGGCAAAGACATAAAAAATCAGAACCCTATACACTGCCTGTAGAAATGAAAAATGGTACAGCCATTTCAGAAATAGTCTGGCAGTTTCTCAGATGATTAAATGTACAGTTATCATATAATCCAGCAATTTCATTCCTAGAAATATACACAAGAGGAAAGATGAAAACACACACTCACATAAAAATCACATAAACATTTATGGAATATTTCTAGATTAATAATAACTAAAACATGGGACAATCCAAATGTCCATCAAGTGAGGAATGTATAAACAAATCTGATATGTTGACATAAAGGAATATTATTCAATTATAAAGAAGAATGAGGCTGGGCATAGTGGCCCACACCTTTAATCCCAGGACTCTAGAAGGCCGAGGCGAGTGGATTACTTGAGGTCAGGAGTTGCAGATCAGCCTAGCCAACATGGTGAAACCCTGTCTCTACTAAAAATACAAAAATTAGCCAGGCATAGTGGCGGGTGCCTGTAGTCCCAGTTACTTGGGAAGCTGAAGCAGGAGAATCGCTTGAACCTGGGAGACAGAGGTTGCAGTGAGCTGAGATTGCACCACTGCACTGCAGCCTAGGTGACAAAAGCAAAATCCCATCTCAAACAAAAGGAATGATACATGTTAAAATATCAATGAGCCTTTAAAGCATGATGCTAAGTAAAAGAAGCCAACAAAAAATGCCACATATTATATGATTCCTTTTGTATGAAATGTTCAGAATAGGAAAATACAGATACAGAAATATTAGTGGTTGCTTAGATCTGTGGGGTGCATGGTCATGTACAAGCCTGGAAAACCAGCAGACCCTGAGTTTAAAAATAAAAATAATAAAGGTATTGGCTACAATGAAATCTGATCAGAGAACAGAACCCAGAAGTGTCAGAAGCTGAAACCATACCCTTACCCTGTGTAAAATTGAGGCTTCCAACTCCATCAATGGTGCCAGCCGCAAAACTGTAGCCCAATGCTGGTTTACATGTTTTTGCCTAAAGGAAAGTTTTTAAAAACAAAACAAAAAGGAAACAGATAAAGAAACAAAACTTAAGCTGAAAGTAAATAATGAGATAAACCTGAAACTTCACCCTTGGGGCATAACCAGTGTGTCTCAGCAGCACTTACTGCATGTGTGGAATTGAGCCAGACGATCACATCTGTCATATTCACCCACTGGTGTGCTGAAGCCAGTGGTCCCGTTACCTCCTGGGAAGCAGAGGCATATAGTTCCTAGAAAACACACAGGCTTACTATTCCAAGAAAAAAGGCTAAAGTGAGCATCTCCAATTGTACTCAGGAAGTACCAATTTCATGCAATTTGGAAATGCATCTCTCAGAAAAGCTTTTGTTTTGCTGGTTGCTTAGAATTGGCCACCAACCACATGGGTTT